AAATAGCCAGCACGGCACCTCTTCAACATGAGTGTGCCATGCTACAAAGCCATGGACACACTGTGGCGAGTGTGTTATGAGGCTGCTTACGCATGCGCATGGCTCGGCAAGTGTCTGGGTTCAAACCCCAGCAGCAGTAGTTGCATCCCGGATCTTGATAATATAAATCCGGGAGCGGGGCGGGGCAGGGCAGCAGGGCAGCGTGTGCGGCGGCCTTGGCCTTTGCGCGTGCGCGTCGTGATGCGCCTTCCTTTTTCGCCACGTGGAGTTCTCCTGCTGCAGCACCTTTTTTCGATGATTTTCCCGCTTTTTTGCCCGAAACCGCCCCAAAAACAGCCGAAAACCCGACTGTTGGGTTTTGCCATATTTCCCTGCTGCGCAGTGTGGTGGGTGGGGGCGGGGACCGTTCCCGCTCCGATACCAATGTAGCGGACCCACCAGGTGTGGTGCTCCGCTAGTGACAGAGATGGAGATGGAGGAAGAAGGGGGAGCAAGATGGCACAAAGCAGCTCCCCACGCAAGACTCCAACGCACGTACTCCAAAATGTGCAAGTGAGGAATGAGACTAAAAACAGACAATGGTTGGGGTATACCCCATCGGACTGACGGGACTGGACTGGACTGGCTGGTACCGACAGAGGTACCAGCCTGGATTGGCCTACCCCGAATATAACACATGCCTATGAGAACAAGCCAAGGGGCTGGTCTCACAGGCCAACCCGAGGTCCGCTACACCTTCGCGGCCACGCGTCAACTCCGCATACCCAGCACCAGCTCGTCGGGTCGCCCGACTCTCTACTCAGCGTCTTTCTGCTCGTTAGCCAATCCTCTCGACCGCGCTAACTCCCAAGTAGATTAGAGGGCCAATTTATCGCGCTTGCTGAATTTATAGCTTGTGCATCCGCGCGCAATAACCGGGATTGCCTGAGAGGAATAGGAGAAAGGAAGGAGGCAGTGCCTATGGCTGCATGGCTGGGCCGCAGCGTGGGGGACATAGCCTCACTCCACGCTTCGATCCAGTCATGCATCGATCAGGCCAATGAGATAAAGAAGGGAGAGCGCACACAGCAACGCAGGCAAGAATATCAAGAAAGGAGAGATTACAGTTACATCTGCGTAAGCAAAGAAAGAGCAAGAAAAGATTACAGTTGAGATTGGAATTTAGGCGCGGTGGGAACAGAGCGCAGGCCCAGGCGCAGCAAAGCGCGCGCAAGCAGGAAGCGCCAAATTCGACGGGTGGTCGGATCTTTGGATGTGCAGTTATAGGCAAAAATTACGAAGCACCCAATTTCCTAGTCTAATTAAGGTCCTAATTGGAAAAAGGAATTCCTAGAACCCACGTGGGCTCATCCAATTCAAAAATTCCGAAGGAATTCCCTGCGCGATTGCCGCGCCAAAAAGACAGACTTCTGTCGAAAAAGAAAGAAAAGAAAGAAAAAGGACATATCAGAAATTGTTCCCCGGCGCTCACGAAGGCGCGAACCAACTTCTCCGAAGTTCCTAACAGCTGCCTCCCTTCTGGCGAGGGACCGAGGAGAAAACTAAGAACGAGGGACTGCCATGCAATTTATCCCCAACCCCCCCTCCACGTACCCCCAATCCCAGTTGCGCAGAAGATGGCGCTTATCAGAAAAAAGCTCGTCACAGCACGTAAATCCTATGTAAAAGTATAGCAAAACATGAGAAAATTTCTGAGTAACACAAAAACGAAAAGACAGGATGGATGCGTCCTTATGCATCAGGGCTCGCCGGCCCGACATGGGTGAGCCTGACGAATCAGTAAAGTGTCCGAAACCGCAACCGGAACATGCTGATCCCGACATCATCACTGGCTGAAAAATGCAACATGGACCAGGTAGAGGACCTGGAACAGGACTAGATCAACCCCGGTTACTCAGATGACAGTAAAAGAAAAAAGGAAGGTGATCAGGAGCTCGCTCATGTAGAGAAGTTGGTGCATCACAGGTTGGCGGCAAACCTGTGGCTGCTGTCCTTGCTTGCTATGCCATCAGCTGTGAATCTGGTTCAACGGGGATTGAAGGTGGAAATGACTTGTAAACGATGTAGTTGGGCTTACGAGTTTGCCACCCATCTGTGGTACGATTGCCCAGCCTCCAAGAGAATACGAGATTGCTGGCAGGCCTTCTGGACAGACTGGACCTGCTCCTCAAGCGGCGGATTGGCATGGGACCGTGAATGGGTTCTCCTAGGAGGTGTTCCAGAGCACATGGATCCAAGACAGGGCTGGGGCTACATTGACCAAGCAGCCCGAGCGGTGGGTTGTGGTGTCAATAGGAAAGAGAGGTGCGGATATTCGAAGATCGAGAAATGAGAAACGAGGAAAGCAGAGTTTTCTTCATCTCCTTGCTGAGGAGGATCATCCAAGCAGACGGGAGAAGGAAAAGTCAACTTGAAGGAGCTTGGGTTGGCAAAACATGGGTTGTAGGCATGAAGCTGGCGAAGCCAGAAGAAGTTAACCTGGTTCTAGACAGATCATGGTTTTGGGCCGAGTAGGGTGGTAGACTAAAGGTCTATCTGGATGAACCTGGTACTCGGTTCCTATGATCCGCAGGAGGATGGCAGCCGGGCATGCTTGTGGAGGGAGGGCTGTTCACTAAAGTGGTCCACTCGGAGGACCAGCCGTCTCTTTTAGAGGGGTTACAATAAGGTTATAGGTTAGATGGGATCAGTAGCCATGTTTGTAGCTGTTGAGGACAATGGTTTGATTAGTAATTAGGGTTGCGGCTTGAGCTTTGAATTGTTTGGGGTTGCTGGCTTGTGCCGAGTTTCTTAGGGTATGAGGCCTCTTTTACCCTTTCCCCTTTTTCCTTTGGTTTGTTTGGTTCTTCAGGCCTGTGGCAATCCTTTGTTGTTGAGAGCCTGGTTTCAGCACAGCGGCCTAGATTTGGTCATCTCTGTTCCTAGACTTCCTCGGGCTCTTTTGTGCTTTGTTTTGATTGAGCTGATGCTCACATTGTCAAGCTAAACTGGCTGATGCTGCCAGGATAACTCTGGGGGCCAAGTCCTACTAGCAGCAACTCAACACCTGAACTGTTTGTGGAGATGCGCGGCTGAAGATACTCAATGTCATTCTGCACATTTCCTCAATATGCATGCCCTTACATCTCGACATCAAGTACCTTCGTCTGTCCGTCCCATTCTACTTCTGGCAAGCGCTTGCTCTGCGAAGTCGTTGGATGTACGGGGAATGTCTCAGCCACGCCGTTGTACTATTGCTCCGCTTCGGCCTCCTGCAAGTACATCTCTCCTCAGCAGAGCTTCAGGTGTCCAGAACACTCGGGTTCCTCAAAAGCGGTTGCGGTAGAAGTGGGAGCAGCGGTGACAGGCACATCAGGGTTTGTTAAAGAGAGCTTCCCGTTCATGATAACGGATGATCTGCAGATTTTCAGATTGTCGACGATTCGCAGTATCCAGTTGCTAAATGAGATGAAGATAACGAACATGGGAGACTTGTCAGGTGTCCAAGTCAATGTGGGAAAGGAGGAGGTGACATTCTTTACCCTTTGCACTCGTCACGGCGGTCACGCCTTCCTCGTCAATGTGATGTGCCATGAGAGCAGCGAGAGTTATTTTCTTAATATTATGATATGATGATTTCTTGGTGTATTTCATGTTGCAGTATGTGTGTTAATTGCATTCACCGCTGGGGGTTGTGGTTTTACAATCCTCGCCGCTGATGCCGCTCGCTGCTTCCAATTACCTTTTCGGTAGACTTTCGGCGGGACGTGTTTCATTGAATGACTGTTTTCCAACTTTTCCCATTGGTGTCCGACGCTGCTATAACTGTCCATCTTTTGCGATTGCTATTCCATTTGCATCCGTTCTTAATTTCTTTCCCTTTCGCTTTCAAATTGCTGATTCCTACCCTCTTCCCTCTACCACAACGAGAGCCCTCGTCATGATCATGGCTGTATCGGCCAATACTCGCGTATACGCTCATTCATGTTGTGGGTGTGGTGTGCTCGGGGTAAGGCGGTGGCAGTGTTAAAACTCAAAACTTACGGTAATAGCGTGTGGAGAGGCAAATAACTGCGAGAAAAAAAGATGAAAAATGTATGCGGAACCAGTGAGGTAGTCTCTGTGGGGGCTGTTTTTTTTTCTCTTTTCTCCTAAGTTTCTGGGTGGCTTCGCTGACGTGTAACTGTCTTTGTGTCTCGGTTTTGGCCATTGCCTTGTTGCACCACTCTGGCACAGATTCTTAAGCTGATTCGTCTCGCGATCACCAGCCAGACTGGAGTGCTGACCGCAGTGTTCAGCAAACAGTTCTCGGAGCATCTGAAGAAACGCGAGTCTCACAAGGAGACCAAATGAGTGTCGGCATTGACATGATTGAGTGCATATTCGCGGCGGGTGCACAGCGATCCATAGTTGGCCAGCAGAGCGAGGTGCGTCTGTGAGGTTGATATGTGTGTGCACTGGCGGCTGCGTTTCCATCTATTAGCAACACAGTAAAAAACATTTTGGCTGTTTACGAAAGAGGAATGCACATATCATGGGGAGGGACGACAGAGAGAGGGAGTGGGTCGGTTGGGGATCGTCGGCAAGAGACATGTGAGCTCGGGCTTGTGAAATGTCAGAGTTTCTTTTCTTCTCTTCTCTTTGAATACGATGTACCATAAAACCTTGGGCTGCAGAGAACATGTTTGTAGATAAATTGGTGTTACACATGTTCAATTTCGTTCCTCAGGTGCTTTAGGCTGTGGATACCCGGTTGTATTTGTGGTATCTTCAGACCTGTTGGACTGGTTGGAACATTGTAGGAGGACCTGTTGGCAGTATCTGATTTCGATCCTGTGAATACCCCTATTTCATGTTGAGCATTGATGAATTTGATGCTACTTCCCGGCCATGCTGTGTGGCCGCGATCGGCATCCTTTCCCAATATAGAACAGAGGATAAAATTAGGGATAAGATCAGACTAGCAATACGATCAGACTACAGTCTTCCCCCGAATACAACGTACGGTCATTATAGCTGAATTTAGACTGAAAGATACACCAAATTCAGATATATTGACCATACGTTGTATTCGGGGGAAGACTGTAACGATAAGATCAGACTAAGTATATGCTTGGCGGTGTTATGGATGTGTTTTGTAGAGGTCGTCACGATAGAGAACGAGAGTTGAAGAGCACGCGGTGGTCCTTACGTGGGTCGGAGCAGTAGAGAACACCCTGTCAGGATGAGTATCGGAGGACAGGATTAGCCGCATCTTCTTAAGCGGTGTTATGTCGCGGAGATCGCGTGTTCGAGTCACGTCGGGATACGAATTGTGAGCATCTCTGGTCGTGTTAGGTCGTCGTTCGGTGCCTAAGGGGGTCGTCAAGAGGAAGGAATTTCATCATTTCGGACCTGAAGTGTTGCCTTCTTGCTCGTTTTGTCGGTTGTTTCGTGACGACCATTTCAGAGTCCACTTCATTTCATGAGTTCTTGCCACGTCATCCACTTGCTTGCTCCCGTAGATCGAAGGGGCGATGTTCGGCGTCCTCTGGATTATGCAGCCGGGGTAGTAATCCCTTTGACCCCGAGATGTCATGATGTACAACGATGGCGACGGCGTGTGATTGAAACAGTCGACGAGGGCGGCGATTGATTGATTGAAACAATCAACGGTGGCGATTGATCGAATTAATCAGCGGTGGCGATTGATCGAACCAATGAGCGATGACTGTAGTGACCGGTATTACAGACAAGAACGAGGGCGTTGCTTTTGTTTTTAAGCCACGAAGATATTAAGGCTCGTCAGGATTTTGATGAAGATTGCATAACGATACGGTAATCGTTTCAATAGAGTTAAAGAGCGGTGATGTAGTACACAGCACTGTCATCACAGGTGTTGACATCAGCATGAATACTCATCTGAAGACTCTGTGAAGCTCACAGCTCTGAAGGTTCAAGAATCCTGTTAAGCTGGATGATCTCAGCGCTCGCGGAAATTCCATGTAGCCGGTACCGGCGGTACGTGATTCTTCCTAGGGCGCCAAGCCAAGGGGGTTCCTGCATGGATACGGTTGGTACGCTACGAGTCGATTACACACCAGGGGCCAAGCCAAGAGGGGTGTTCCTGCATGCAGACGAGTGGGACAAGACAGAGGAGGGGGGCGACGTGGAAGGGGCCGTGGGTGTGGGCTGTAGAAAGGACGAGTATAGGTACCTCTTGTACTACATTAGCATGCGTAGGGTCTGCTGCTGCTGAGCTAAAAATAGAGCTCGGCGTACTTGTGTTTGTAATCTTCTCACAGTAAACGTTGAGGCAACGGGGTTTTGCGCCATCGCACGTCGGTAGTTTGTTGGCGGTGAACGCGAACGCAACTGGTCGATCTGTAAAGCCGGAGATAGCTTTGCATGCCTGGCTGGAACAAGGAGACGACACAGCAAACGCACAATGGCAGTTACTGCACCGCAGTCTGCATGTGTCGTTGGATAAAGCAGAAGAAAACTAAGTAAAAAAGAGGGATGAAGGNCGTTGGATAAAGCAGAAGAAAACTAAGTAAAAAAGAGGGATGAAGGAAGGATACCCCATACTCATTAGACCGACTCGAATTCGCCATGGTCTTGACACAGCAAACGCACAATGGCAGTTACTGCACCGCAGTCTGCATGTGTCGTTGGATAAAGCAGAAGAAAACTAAGTAAAAAAGAGGGATGAAGGAAGGATACCCCATACTCATTAGACCGACTCGAATTCGCCATGGTCNCGTTGGATAAAGCAGAAGAAAACTAAGTAAAAAAGAGGGATGAAGGAAGGATACCCCATACTCATTAGACCGACTCGAATTCGCCATGGTCTTGATAACTGTGGTTAAGTTTGGGCTGTAGCCTGTAGGCTGTAGATGATCAAGAAAGGGTGCTCCATTTGACCAAGCTGTGTTTTACTCTCGTTGCTGACTCACATTTGTTGAAATCAGAAGCTCGTGCTGTCATCGTCAGTGTGGTCTGCATGACTGCGGTTAGGACTGAGATTTAGGCTATCCGTCATCATCAATATCGATGGTTCTACTCGCTGAACGGTGTAGTCCTCTCTTGGCTACCTAGAGTTTGCTCAAATCAAAAGGCTAAGCAGCCTTAGCTTATGTTGTCATGGTTACCATGGGGTTACCATGGTTACCATCATGGTGTTACCATGACACTATGGTGTTACCATGGTTACCATCATCATGGCCATGGTCGCCGTCGTTGCCATGTCGGCCATGGTTGAAAATTGAAATCATGGTCTTGATAACTGTGGCTAGGTCTTGGTTCGCATGGATGCATACGGAATCGCTACGTTGCGGACGTCGTTTTGATTCTTGACCATGACGAGCCTCTCAACGGTGTTTTCCACATTTCACAGACCAAATTAGGGATGTTTGTTCTAATAAATCAAATCGGACGGTTAAGTCATTTTTCCGGTGATCAAGGATTCATGAAGAACGGGGGGGTTGTATTATTAGAACATGAGAAGTGAAATGCCAGAAAAATGAAATGCCTCCCCGCCAACCGCTGGTAGGAAGATGACAATAACCTCTTACCTGGAAGCAGGACAGGAAGGAGGGAAGCATTAGGTACCTAGTGGTATCATGTGTATGCGGTTCCTCTCCTAGGCCGAGGATGAACCTGTTCCAGTTTTTTTTTTCTTTTTTTTTTTGGGGGGGGGGGAGCTTTCAACGGTTTGGGTTTCCTAGATGAACGACGTTATAATTGAAATGCAGGAATGCTCTATTGGTGCCGTGCTTGTTGTTGGCCAGAATGCAATTTTTATCGAGGGGAATTGCAGAAATAACCATTGTTTGCATCCCCCGGCACATAGACCTCAACAGCAAACCTTCATGTTAGAAATGCCCTTTTTACCTCAGGTTCTCAACAGTTCCCCACTGTCATGGGAGAAATAACTGGCTGAATAGCAACAATACCCTTTCCTTATGTCTTTGTTGTGAAGGTACGTATATTCGGGGGTGAACATTACGCCCCAAGACCGGGCGTGTCCCTTCTCCAAGCCTCCAACACTAACGGCATCACTGAGTTCAAACAGGGGCCGACAGGTCAGTCCAGACTGTAACATCAGACAAGCCCTGCCTCCACAGGCACGGACATCCCCTCCCCTCACAACACTAGATTCTCCCTTTGTCAACTAAAAAGAAATCTCTCTCATTCTCTTTCGACTTCTAGAGGACACCCAACGCTGCAACCAGAGGAAATTCCAAACAGCAAGTAGGCGATAGGTTCCTGAGTTGTGATAGGACACAGGCTGCAGGTTCGAGTCCTGGCTATGCTGGTCAAACTTGCTAGAATAGAGGCTCCCATGTCCCAAGACGAAAAACAGAAACTCCTTTTTCTAGTACATAATTAGTCAGCTCAAACGATTGCCTGCAGTCGGAATCTGCCGCATGTTTGCATCTTCGGCCGGGGAAACCCCCAGCCTGAGGGGACAGTCCCAAGGCTGTTTAGATGTTGTATGGGGGGTCTCGCCCATCGAGCGTCATGCTGGCGGCAGTGCCGTACCTCTGGACCTCTGGTCATGATGAGGGGGGAGTCCATGAATACCCCCGCGTGGCCGTGACCCTGTGGCCCTGGTGGGCCCTGTTTTGGGGCCTGACGGTTGTTCCAGGCCCCCAGGCTGTGCACCCAGTTTTGGTGAGCGATCTAGAGGCCCACGGCCATATTCCAGGCCAGGCACAGACTTGGTTCCATGTGTGCTCTTCTTTCTTCAGCATTTAGTATTTTTGCTGGGTTTTGTCTGGACTAATTTTGTCTGTTTCAGATGTGTCGGTTGGGACTTTTCCTTTTGTCGGAACATGCATATGTCTGTTCGGTTAGGCCAGGTTCAGATTTGTCAGTATGTGTGACTGGATCAGGCATTCGTCTGTTTGTGACTGGCCCAGTCCTCAGGGCCCTGCTGCATCAGGGTTTAGGGACCCAGGCAGGCTGTTCTTGGCCAGGATCGTAGGACCAGGACTTGGGCCTGCGATCAGGACCATCGATCGGACATCACAACCGATGGTCCTGACTGCAGACCGGGACAGCTCAGCCAGGCCCTCTCAGCCAGGCCCAGCCATATATAGCTGGGCCAGTCCACTTTGAGGATGCATTCTGGCTGGAGCCTCAGTTCGGCATCACCTTGCCGTAGCAGCGCCAGTTTGGGGAGAGCTGTGATAGGCATCGTTAGAGGGTCGAGTAGTACCATGTCCACGAGGGAGAGAGAGACTTACCTGGGCCCCGTACGTGGGACTCCATACCGGGCATGGGACCGGCCTTCAGCAGGGACCTGCATCGGGAGCCAGTTTCGGGAGAGCTGCGATAGGCATCGTTAGAGGAGTCGAGGAGTACCATGTCCACGAGGGAGAGAGAGACTTACCTGGGCCCTGTACCTGGGACTCCATACCGGTCATGGGACCGGCCTTCAGCAGCGACCTGCATTGGGAGTCGTCACCTTTGCTTGTCAGTATTCATGGCATCGTCATCAGGACTCGGGAGCGCAGGAGAGACGAGAGTTTTTCTTCTCCTTCTCCTGATTTTTCTCTGCTCCTCTATAGTGCGAGGCACAAGGCCTGGATAAGCCCTACCGGGCCCCTATTTGCAACAGGTCGGCCGCTCTAAGTGAAGGCAGGCTCGACAGACGACAAGAGGCCTATTTTGGACTACTTCGCAACTGGGGGAAATTCAGGCAGTTGCGCAGTGCCAGTTGGTTC